GAAGATGTAAAAGTGTTCTGCTCCTCAATTTGGATGCAATCAATTTGCGATTCGGAAAGGAGCCCCGATTTTTAAAATTGGGTCCCCCGTTTACCTCCCAAGGGGGGCTAGAGGAGCTTCGGGACCATGAAATTTGGATTTCTCGGGGTCGATTACCTGGGAAACCATCTTTTTCTGGAGAATCTACGTCAATTTTGGGACCAAAGAGAAATTATGGAGGGGGGTACTGTCCCCCTCTTTAGGGGATCATTTTTGGGCCTTGGATGGGCCGATTATGGATTTTTAGGGGTCAAATTCACGTGAAATTTTCCGTGCTTTTCAATTCTGATGCGATGAATCCGCAATTCGGTCGGGAACCGTGACTTTTAGCATCGTGACCCCCCTTTACCCCCCAAGGGAGGGTGGGGGGGGGTTTCGGGACCACGAAATTCGGATTCCTTGGGGTCAAATCCCTATTCAACCCCGCGGTTCCCGACTTCGTACGACCTAAAACAACCGAGAAAAAGGCCTGGTACGGGTGGTCTGAAACACCCTGTATAGTAGTATTTGCTAATCACCAGACTCGATTACACTCGGACAAACTGTGTAGTCATAATTTGTAGTAGTAATATAAAACTACGCTTTCATACAAGTGGGAAAAATTAACAATTCTGGTCAGGGAACGTATAAATAGTGTCGAGGAAGTGTGATCAATCATTTCAAAACAAGAACTCGTCAAGTATGGACGCTCCAACCCTCAAATCACAATCGATTAGAGCGATGAACACCTTGGACACGGTATATGAGGCTCTCTCTTTCAAGATTCCAGGAATACGAGCAGAGCTTTTGAACAAGTTTGCCAGACTCCTTTTTCCTGACAAGTTGTTCCACCATCTTAATTTCAGCTCAATAGACACTTCCGATCCCGTCAGTGTTATGGGTTAGTTGAGATAACGGAAAGATTTTGCCATCTCCTAGAATGTGTCGCAGACGAGCATGAAATAATGTACTTCTTAAAGCAGGGGTACAAGAAAGTAGACGAACGGGACTGGAAGATATGCAGACTTTTGAGTGCGATTCGCATAGTATTATACACCAGAGAGAGGAGAGCGGCTCTCTATAGTAAAGATTTCGTATAAATAGTATGCATTCTCTTCTCAGTATCGCAAGGAAAAAATCATGATTGATAAAATATTTCTCATCACCATCATCATTGCTGTTGTTGGAGTGAATTCCACAACGGTAGCGGAAAACTCATCCGAAGCAAACATCACAATGTGCCCGGTCTGTCCGGAAATCAAATGTGCACCCTCTACCTTGACGGACGTTCTTCTATTCATCTTGAGTTTACTGGCGCTTATTTGCTCCGCTCCGTACCTGTACTCTAAGTACATATCATCCAACTGCAAGTTCCGTTTCATCAGGATGGCCCGGAAAAATAAAAATCGGAAAGTCGATGATATAAGTGTTGATTTAAAGTTCGGAGAAGGAGAGGGAATCGATGTTTGTGGTTGACAACCCTCACGTTTTTAGAACATGCACGTTTTCTGAACGTGTACGTTTTCTAAACGCGTTTGCGTTTGCGTTTTCTGAACGCGTTTGCGTTTGCGTTTTCTGAACGCGTTTGCGTTTGCGTTTTCTGAACGCGTTTGCGTTTGCGTTTTCTGAACGCGTTTGCGTTTGCGTTTGCGTTTTCTAAACGCGAACTGTTTTAAACTGTACCTTTAACTGTAAATATCCGACAAAAAAATAATAAAATTTTTAGATTCATCAAACTGAATATTGCAATACCCAATCCCAGTCGCAAGGTTCCCGTACGCATCTCCAAGCGCTAAAAAATGTAAATTACCGAATCAGACCCTAATCTCCAGTCTCCGATAGCAGCCCCATACTGTAAAATACGGTCTTTCGAAGCCGAAAATTTTACAAGTCCGAAATCTCGGAAACGAAAAGTCGTATCGAAATTCGATCCGTACAGTTTTCTGATCTTCGAAAGTAGAAAAGAATCGCATCGATCCGCAACGGATCGGAGGAGGGTGATTTTCCGAAAATTTTTCAATTTCCCGGATCAAACCCTAATCTACAGTATCCGATACCAGGCCCATACTGTTAGATACGGTCTTCCGAAACCGAAAATTTGTACAAGTCCGAAAATCCGAATTTTTTGCACAATCTGGCAACATTGTATCGAAAAATTAACTAATTTCTCACCCCATCTGGCAACACTGTAAAATGCGATGTTGCTAAATTTCACCAATAATTCAATCATTTCTTTAAGTGCACCGTCCGGCAACGCTGCTGCGCCATCTTGAGAAATACACCATTGCATAAACCGCAGATTGAAGGGGCTACATTACACGATTGCATAACCCGATTATTGAAGGGGCAACATGCAATACTTTTACTTTACAGCGTTGCCATATTGAATAATAATCCCTATACAACACCGTAATTTAATTCATATTTTTCTGCACCATCATGCAACGCTGTACGATTTTTATTGGATTTTTTACCTGGTCAAATCATCATTTTCTCCCTACTAACAGAAACTTCGAGTTTTTATCAGCATATGTAAAAAATCTTCAATCACGACGTGCTCTACTTCGTAAGTCGGTTGACGGAGAGAATGGTGCAAAATAAAGTAAGTGAGAAATGAACAAGCATAAAGTAAAATAAAATTACGGGCCGGAATCGGGATCCGATCTTGGGACTACCCGCCTGCGAGGCGAGCGCGCTACCGTTTGGCCATGCGGTTTTGATAAGGATGGATCGCCTCTGTCACCTATCTTTACCTTGTGCCGCTAGCGCACGCGATTTTTCCGCATCTTTCGCCCCATTTTTGAGGGCTTTCCCGACCCCATTCGAAAAAACGAAAAAATACGCATACCTAAAATCATCTCTAGTATCTTCATGCGAAATTTCAACTCGAAATTACGGTTACACTTGGGAAGCTCCCCTTGTCAGCTACCAATTCCACTCTGATATGACACTGAAACGGTTGTTGTTAAACGTGAGTTGCGTCAGTTGCGCGCACAGCGCACGCACTCTCCTGTCCCCCTCCCTATGTGACTGTGGGATTTGACGCCATGCACAACGTTCTTTTGCATTCATTTTGAGCATATGTCCACTTTCTTTTTATCAAATGTCCACTTTCTTTTCATCAAATATCTCCTAATGGCGCACGGATGCGCACCCAAACTAAGGATTATCGTATTCTTGATAGTATGACGAGTAACTGGATATAAAAATCTCACTTGATCTCTCTTGATCTCGAAAGATATAGTCTTTAGAAGTTTGAATTTGTTACTATTTTGGCGACGAACTTCAAAAAATTGCTGTAAATTAAAAAAGTGGATTTAAGAAAAAAAAATGGTATTCATTCTATTAGAATGGTCAGCCATTGCCAACAAAAATTGAAAGTAACTACATGACGCTCTTTAATAAACATAGGAGGCTATTGAATGTAAACATTCAGAGGCGGTCTTCCATCAGCACCGCGCTAACCTTTGCGTTTCTCATCATTATCTCTGACAAGGTCGACCTTACGAAGTAAAACATGGCTGATACTTGATCAGCAGGTCCTCAGGAACACATACGTACCGATTTCGGCCATTTCCATTCATGCCGATTTTCAGACTTTTTCGGCGCTAGATCGGCTGTTTTTCCCACTGTGCACCGTTTATTGTTCCCCTTTGCATTCCGCCGCCATATTGATCCTGACATGTACATTTAAAGCCTAGGAGCGCGCAGTTCAAACGCCGTTTTAGACCATCCTAATTTTTGGCACTTTCAAATAGACTTTTCTCCAGTTTGCAGTCATCAAAAACAATTAGGAAAAACACTGTAAGCTTCAGTCACTTACTACTTCCCAATGATACAATAAAAAAAAAAAAAAAAAAAAAACATTGTCTCTGAATCAGTCCGAAAAAAAAAAAAAAAAAAAAAAAAAATGACTTAACTGACTCATTTCACAGAACAAATTCACAGAAACTAGAATTTCACAGGAACTTGGAAGACAAGGCGCATAAGTGCAGTTTTTATTATTACAAGGAGAAAAAAGAGTTTGAAGTTCTGCATTTTACTCAGACCTATAGAGTGCTCCGAATACCTTCAAAATTTACAAGTGCTTGTCTCACACCTTCATGAACGTTTTCTGAAATTTTCAGCTCAGTTGAGCCAAATTGAGACCAGCAATTGGGTTTAAAGTGATGGAAGGTCGTATTTATCCCACGTCCTCTCTGAACGAAAAATACACTTATCTCATTTGCTGTTTTCTCCGCGTCAAATGACTTCCAAACAAAATCGCTTGGTATTCTGATAGCCTAAAATACCTGCAACTACCAAAAAACACGCACGACTCAATTTTAATCAAAGACATGCTCTGGAGCACACGATTTTATTCTTATTTCCGTCCTTTCTTTTTCAACACAGGAAAACACAAAATAGTCTGAATTTCTAATTCCCGTTTGCCTTTCCTTCCTGTTTTTATCTTCTGTGCTTCTAGCGAGGTCCGGTTGTTTCCTTGTATCTCCCATGTTGAAATGCAAGCATAACGACCTATGGCATGCAGATGCGGCGGCTGGGCTCTAATCTCTGGTCTCAAATTTTTAAAACTGCACCTGTGCACCTTGGCTTCCAAGCCCCTCAATTATAATCACTTTGAAAAAACATGAGCTGAGTAAAAGTTAGTTTGGACATTTGGTGCAGTAAAATCTGGAAGCTATAGGTGGTGGAAGTCAACACTTTGCAAGCTTTCCTTATCCATTCATGAGGTTATCACCAAGGGAGAAAAAAATAAAAAAAGGGGATTTACCTGCAATAAACTTAAAATTTCTGAGAGCAAAAAGGATCAAGCTTTGCAATAAAATCAAAATGCCTGTCCAATCAGTCTCTGCAGACTGTAGAAACTGATACTGACTAATGGAACATTCACTGTGATATAAAATGAATTGTAAAGCATTACCAGTGTTAGTTGCTGCATTAGTTTCTTGCGTTGCAACTGCACACGTATTTAAATTACCCGCTCTAGTCCGTCTGCTGTGCTCGCCTTCTGGTAATCTTTGTGACATACGCGTCAACCTTTCTTTCCTATCCTCTTCGCCACTTCCATGTTTACCCTGAAAACAGAGCAACTGACCTTAAAATTCATCAATACATAGAAGCATCGAATGTAAAAAAAAATACGGTTGACGCAGGGTTTGCATGAACTTTTGAAAAACAAAATCAAGGACTATCAAGGAAGTACAAACATTTTGAAAGGTACTAAGGAATGCCTACAGATTAGAAATTATTTATTTTTTTTATCTCTCCATTCTCTGTTACTCATGTAAAGAGAAGAGAATGGATGATATGTGCGGACCAAACTGTATTCAACATTTGAAAAGTCTCTGCGGTCAAGGAAAGAAAAAAAAGCAATTTTTCAATTTAACATAATAAAAAGAAAGGTAAATAAATGTGAGAATTCGGGGTGCTCCTTAGCATGTAATACCTCGTGTTGTGTTGGTTTGTCTAAAGTCGGCATAGATCCCTCATTATCAAATATGGAACAAAAAGCTTAAAGAGAGCACTTTTTGATGGTTTAATCGTTTTCAGTGTTAGATTAATATTGCAGCCATTGCAAGACTCCAAAGTTTTGCCTGAAAATGAGCCAAAAATGACCTTGACCTCAATTTTTCGTTATTAAGGTTTCTGACTGATTCATTTCTTTGGTGCAATAATGTAGCTCATATATTCCTCTAACAGAATTTCCTAGGTTTCTATGCGTCCTTTCATGCCTGGAGCCTTTTTCGGCCATTTTTGTGTAGCGGTTATGTGATTTTCTGAGTGATCTAATTTCTCTGTGCAACAAGATAGGAGTGATGAAACAAGGTTAACATTGGACCTACAGTGATTCTTATGTAATTTTGGCTGCTGAATCCGAAAATGATGCCCGTTTTGTCCAGAAGATGCCAGTTTTCTGGAAAATTTAGGTTTTTTATTTTGTAGGAAAACACATTTTCAAGCGCAAGAATATTTTCTCCAGAGAAATGAAGATTACTGGATAAAACGGAGGTCATATTGTTATTCTTGAGCTTCCGGATGTCTAAACATGTACAAACTCGGCCTTTTTGTGGTGCCATGGTCTTTGTGCTGACTCTATGATCAGGAGGTCAAGTTTGACTTTCGGCCAGGCAAGTCGAGCTTGATGATCTTGTGAGAGTGGCCCAGGGACCTGGCACCCAAGTCGCGGGCGCTGACAAAAACCCATACTTCACAGGACTGGGCATCGGTGGAGCACTCCCAATGAGAAGGCAGAGGGGTAGCATCCCTTCCTGCGCATGCGCAAGGCAAGGCTTGACCAGTTCCGAGTAAAGTGGAGGGGGTAGCCAGAGCCTTAGACCCAGCGAGCTCACCAGAGCGAGGCCCTTGGATTACTCTCTGGAGGACAGGTGATCGAGCTGGCCATTCGACCGCTTCTCATCCCTGTGGCTCCAGAATCTCAAAAATTTGATACACTGAAATTATTGTGCAACCTTTCCACAATTTGAGTTGACTTTTGAATATTTATTGCTATGTACGTATTTTCTTACAAAACCATGATAAGCTTACACAAAATTTCACAAATAGTCGAGTGTATGAGGTGAAATATGTCTGGAGTAAGGCTAACTTCCGCCATTGAGGCAACAAGGTGTTTCTTTTTCTCATTATGCAGCTGGTGATCTGCGAGCAAACCAAGTCAAGAGCATTGTAGATTCAACGTTTTCATTGTTCTGCGCTCACTGTTACCCATCATGTTATAGGTTATGTAATACCAACTAGCGATTTTTTCGCTGAGTACTTGTCAGGATCACTGCTAAGTATTTTTCGATCAGCTGATTGAGTTTGGATATTGACCCCTCTGAAATTTTTAGTCCCCACGCCAGGATGGCGTCTGAAGGACTAGGAGGGATGCAGTGGATTCTAGAGGTTGAATCCACTGAGAAGATGAGGAGGGATTACTGATTAGACTCAATCACCTATAAAACCACATTATTAAGAGGCAGAGTCTGGGTTTCTGTCTGTAAAGGAAAAACACGTATTGCGGTTAGAAACAGTGCTCTTTGTTTCCTGTCCAGACAACAGCTCAGTTGAAGATTGCAAGGATGAGACAAAATGATGTTAAACAGAGTTTTAGCTCCTCAGTTCTTGTGTGAACGCGATCAGCCCGGAAAATCAGAGTCCCATGTAATGCCCTGATTGGCCCGGAGGATTAGGCTGCAGGAAAGAAGGGAAGCTAAAGCGACACTACTCGAAATTTTCAGAAAATCTCTGAAATCAGTCTCATCTTAGCTCACCAGCTGTCCTGGCCAGGCCGCGATCGGCCCGCCACGCCGTGTTCTAAACGGACTCCGCACGAAAGCCACGTGTAGGTCCGAGAGTGTTTTTGAATGGATTTTGAGTCTCGTTTTGGCTCGCTAATGATTTCAGCCAGACTGTGTATCGGCCCGTCCTAAAGCGATCTAACGAACTAGTGTGTTTTGAGCTGTGAATTGTATATTAGCCGTTCTTAATGAAAGTCTGGAGTCTGTCGAAATCTTTGGTAATAAAAGTGTTCAACGAAATTGTCAACTGTGTAGTTGTGTGTGCAGAAGAGTAGCGGAAGGCTCCTCGCCATTTGCCCTAATAACTTTTACACTTCCGCTGGTGGAGCTACTCCCCCCCCTCCCCCTTTAAAGATGAGATGGAGTGTGGGGTGGGCTTTCGTCTCTTAGCCTTCGCGCCCTCCTCGCTTTCACTGTTTTCTTAGAGTACCTATACTAAATTGATAAAACAACAACAAAAAACATACATACAACCCATTTGCCTCTCTTGGAACGTCCTCCACCCAGTCAGAAATGTTATACTATGAAGTCCTGCCTACAAACAATTAAGATCCAAAATTTCCCTTCCTCTTTCTGATTTCAATACCTTACTTTCAGTAGAGTTTGATGCAAAAACGACATTTTTCGCCCCCTCCCCTCTGGAATTTCTTAAAACTTCGTCTTTAAATTCCTCATGCTTGAGGGCCTCTTTTCCCAAATTTGCAGACCCCCAACAAATCTGGGGGGGGGGGGGGGAGGTGGGAGGTGTAGGGTGGGACTTATTTTTTTAAATCGACCAAACCAAATGTTGCACTGTCTTCAATTGTTCTATGTGATGTAAAAAACACGGCAGCCAAAAGGATTTTGAAAAAAACAATTTTTTAACCCGGTCTGTACACAGCCTAAAGATCTTTATTTTTCTGAGTTTATAGGCATTTTAACCGTCTTTTTTTCTTACTTTCATTAAAGGCAAGGATTTGATGTTAGATGTTCAAAAATGGACACAAACCTAGCACATACCTTGTAGATTAAAAGAAAATGTTCGTTTATCTCAGAGGTCACTCTCACTTTGTTTGGTAGCACCTAGACATGATGCTCGGTAGCTCTAAAAATCGAAATTTCACAGTTTTTCAACATATAATGAACTTTTGGAGCAGTCTCTAATGGTAGTACAAATCTAAAAACTTTTAGAAAGCAAGTCCATACAACCATTATGGAGAGGTAAATTTCAAAACACTCCTAAGTCTCTAGTTTTCTGTCAAGCAATGCCCATCACGGCGGAGAACCTGTCAAAAATAGCTCAATTTTGACCCTTTTTTCGCTTGTTGAAAATTCATTGGACACCCCATAGGGTGCCTATGACAATGAGGGTCCGAAAATTCGTGGAAAGTAAGTCCATACCATCTGAACGGAATACACAATTTTACTTTGTTCCTTACGTCATACATTCTTTGTCCTGAAATGGCAGGGAAAACGTCAAAAATACCTTAACTAGGCCGTTTTTTCGTCTTTAAATTTGCCGCCTTGTGGTGGCAGTGGAGGTCCAAGAATTTGTGCAAAATAAGTTCAAACCCTCTGTAAGGAATAAAGATTCTACGTGGTTCCTAGGTCTTTTAATCCTCATTGTGCGGAGCCCACAATCACTTCGATACCATCAAAAATACCATTCTTCGGCCGTTTCTTCATGAATGGGTCCTCCTCTGTCAGTACAAGGTGTATCAATCAAATCCTTGCCACTAATTACAATATAAAAAAAAAAGATGGTAAAAATGCCCAGAAACTCGGAAAAAAATCCATCTTTAGACTGTGTGCAGGCCAGGTTAGAATTTTTTTTTCAAAATCCTTTTGGCTGCTATTATTTTCATCACATAGAGCTATTGACGACAGTGCAACATTTGGTTTGGTCGATTTAAAAAGATAAGTCCCGCGCTACACCCCCCCCCCCCCCGAGATTTTTTGGGGGTCTGAAAATTTGGGAAAGGAAGCTCTCGCGTTTGAGTAATTAATAGACAAAGTTTCAAGAAATTTCAGAGGGGGAGGTGGTGAAAAACGTCGTTTTAGCATCAAGCTCTTTTCTCAACAAATCCCATTCTTCCTCAAACAACTTGATCCGAATCATACGAAAACCGCTATTGTCCATCATTCGTTATACAGGGTGTCTCACGAAAAACGAGCCACCTTGAATATCTGCCGAACGCGTCGGAATTTCGAAAAACGGTAAAAGACGTGTTCGTTTATATCAAGGGGGACACCTTTTGGCGTATTCAACATTTTCCCAAACCGCGGGAGGGGCGCGGGGCGGGGGGTGCCCCACCCGTAAGTCGAACTTTTCAAATGGCACTCCTACTTTTTTATTTCAGAAATCAATTCTACGCCAAAAAACAAGCTACCCTGTCCAAACCGAATGTAAATCGGACAATTTTTCAGTGATTGAGAGAGTTTGAAACATTTTTTTCATGCTCTTTTCAAAAATTTCCCACGCCCAATGGAATTGCTGTATCAAACCAAACTCTCCGCCAAAAAAATTCTTAAACATTGCACTTTCGATAAAAAAAT